CTCTCTCTCTCTCTCTCTCTCTCTCTCTCTCTCTCTCTCTCTCTCTCTCTCTCTCTCTCTCTCTCTCTCTCTCTCTCTCTCTGCACCTAATCAACCCGCCTCACAGCACGAAGACTAAGCATAACAGACAGAGACAAGACAAGCGTTCCGGAAGCACACACACTGTCTCTCATGCAGCCTTCTTTCTTGCACCACCCCCCCTACGATTCGGTGTCAGTGGCTTTCTCTTCTTCGCGCCTGCTCTCCTGCCTTCCCTCTCAGCCTGTCTGGCATCCATCCGTCGCTGCCTGTCCTCAGCTCGAGCCCTCTCGTCCAATATCCCTTGATATTTCTTCACCCAGCGAGGCTTCGTCAACCTATCCACCAGCCTCATATCCCTCACCTGGATGGTCACCCTCTTTGAGTGGATCGCCACTTCGTGTGTGTTCTCGAAGTTGGCGACCAGGTAAGCCTCCGCAACCTCCATCAAAGCACGCACAGCCGTCATCTGGAACCTCAGGCCCTTATTAGGGGTAATGTCATTCTCCACCACCTCGCGGACGACGCGCAAGAAGGGCCTGCAAGGGATACAAAGGTCGGTGGATCGTTGCAGCTTCCTGATCTCTGTCAAAGCTGCCATCCCGGGGTGTCTGCGGCGTCTGTGGACCCGTGCAAGCTCATCTGCATTGTTACCGGTCTATGGCACAGGCGGGGGGTTCTTCTTTTGCTTGTCACCAGCCGTCTGCCCCCTCCGCGGCCTCGACACAACCGCCTTCACCTTCCTCGGGCTGTGGGACATCGCTGTTTTGCTGGGCCCGGCCACGTCACCCTGCGCTGCATAGCACCCTGCAACTCGCTCACCGCCACATGGGCCCTCCACCTCAGCAGACAAACCGTCCTGATGTCCCAGGCGCGTCTCCTCCGTCTGTCCCGGCCTCCGATGTCCACCTCGGGTGTCCTCGGCCACCATATACCGAATGTCTCGCAGGAGGCCATCCGAGTACATCAGCAGAAACGGCACACCAAGCGGGTCTCTGAACCTCATCATCATCTCTCCACCTTGCTCGTATGTCATGCGACATACGGCCGGGACCCAACCAACAAGGGCGGAGCAACCATGCCTGCGGCGGATGTGAGAAATGTACCTGTTCTCGCCATCGCCCTGCCCTTGCCCACCAGGACTCCCCTCAACCATGGACCATATCCCCTGGTCTGGCATGGAGTTGTAACCCATGCACACCATCTGACGGTCCTCCTCCCTTATCTTCTCCCAGCACCGCTTTGCATGCTCCACAACCAGCACGTGGTCCTTCACATCTGCATTGAAAATGGAGACACGTGCCACTACCACCAGGAACTGCCACTGCTCCACCATGCCCGCATGCATCCACCCCAAGGGCAGCCAATGGCCTGTCTGCAGTTTCGCTGCCATGGTCATCTTGCCATCAACTGTTGCCGGCTGCAGACATCCTGGGACCCAATTCACACGATATCCATACTTCTGAGGGGCCACATGCTGCTGCAACTGCCCCTCAGGGATGACATGGGCCGCAATGTCTATGGCAGCCAGAACGTCAGGGTTCAGGTTGAATGGGTCCCATACCAGCGTGGTTATTCCATCAGCAGTAGCGTCCTCCCCTCTAGCCGTGTATGTGTACCCATGGTCACCCGCGAACATTTTCCCCTCTGCCACCTCGAGCTCCACAGGGTTCCGAAGAGGCGGCGAAAAACAACGAGCAGC